TTCTGGGTTTAGGCACCNCCCTCAAAACTTACATACTGAGGAGGAGATTAGCAGCAGTCAGATTCAAATTTTTGCTTCTTTAGAAAACTAATCTTTGACAAAGCATTGATTTGCAGGTGAGACTATCCTTAATTAATTGGATATGTTACTGGTAACCCAAAACTTTATCTCTCCAGAACGGTTATAAGTTTCACAGTGGGTGAAAGTAAACAGTGAGAGATACGATTAAATTTTTTTTGTCACCTACTGTCTAAATTGTAGAGAGTCTAGGTTTGGTTTTGATCTGATGAGCAACCAATTAGAACTAAAAACAAAAGGCTATCAAACTCATTTGATGTCGGTGGGAGAAATATCAATCTTTTTTTAAGACCTGGTGTTGGGTCACAATGAAATATAAAAATTTCCTACCCCTTACTCTAGTCTGATTATAATCTTAATAATGGCATTGCATTTCTTGAAATATGTCATGTGGTTTGATATTTTGGAAGGAAGTGATTACGAGAGATAAATTAGTCTCTTCATTCTAGGGCTTTGTTATGGAGGTTTAGATGTATTTAACCCTTTCACTGATATTCACTGGATCTTTAACACTAACATCATGCACTTGAAGCATGAAAAATTGATTTCCTGTAAATGGTGAGACAGGTCAGTCATTTTTTGAGTTATATAAAGAAGTCAGTTATGCAAAAACAAATCATAATCACATTAGACATTATTAGTGGTGCTTCTACCATGAAGAAATGTTTCTTCTGGGATGCGACACCAAGTAGTCTAATAGAAATTTACTTATGTTTAGGAGGAATGTAGTGCCTTTATCATCAGGGCTGAAGATCAAGCAAAACAAGCAGCAAATGCTTAGCATACACTTCAACTCTGTAGATGGAGGCAGTATGTTCCCCTAAAATTCCAGTAAACTTCTGCTAGATTACATGGCATCACATTGCAGAAGATGGCACTCTTCACAATCACCACTGTGAAGACATAAAATTTAACATAGTTTTACCAGGGTAACATATTTTGTTACTCTTTATGGGAACCTAGATCGCATTAAATGGAGGAATTGTTTTGGAAGAGACTGTGGACGTGTCGTCTTGACAGATTACTGATGATGATGATTATGGGAACAGCATAGTTTAAAGTTATAAGTACAGAAGATATATTATGTAAATTAAATTAATTGATTTGAAAGTATGAAATTCAGTTCATGAAAAATTATAAGATCACATTAGAATGTTATATGTTTCCTGTTCACCCAGTCATGAATAAGTTGTATTAGCTATTATTCTGTCTGTAAAGTTATCAAACAGTGAAATTTGTCTTGTACTAGGTATGGTCTGTTACAGATCTACAGCGGGAAGCATACAAAGCTTGTTACTAGAAAACATTTGTAAATTTAACATTCTTTGTATGAGGTTTCACAAATTATCCTGTGTTTTTTTACAATATTAGGAAGCATTTCTTTATATCATTTTAAAAAGCATTTTATCCTCATCATCTGAGTTGCTAACTTAAACATATTGGCACTTTCTAGCAAAAACCATAGTTCAAACAGTCCATGTATACACACTTCCAAAGTACTTATCACTGCTGGAAGATTCGCATGACTTCCCTCATAGGCCTATCTGTCATAGACAGCAAAGTTGCACTGAGCCATGCATTATAATGGAACTTGGAATCAAATATTTGATGCTACACTGTTAAAATAACTTTTACTAGTAATAATAACAATAATAATAATGAGGATGGTGGTGGTGATGATGACAAAGCAACAAAGTCCTGTCATTAAAAACATTGACAACTTTTACACTATTTCCACAAAATTGTGAGTAGCATATTAACATTTCCAACTAATAACAAAATTCAGTAGTTACTGTTTTGATTTATTTTTTTTTTTTTCTTTTTTTTTTTCCATTTATAAAGCCTGTAAGTGAAGCTTTGATATATCTTAGATAAACATTTCCTCTTGTGGACTTACTAATTATGACAACGGGCAGCTGTTACTTTTGTTCTCAGATACATATACATTTATATATTTTATAGAATTTTAAGGCACTCCAAGTATGGACTACATGCTGTCTGATATATTCAATATGTGGCCTATATTCACACTACACCCACTTACTACTGTACCAATTGATGTCTCTGTCCTTTGTGTACATATAATGTTAGAGCAGACATTTCAAAATTAAAACATAACAGAAAGTTGGTTCTTCACGAAGTTCAAGAACAGAAATTCAGTATTTGGGTTAGGGGTGTTGTAATTCCAATTTTTTTTTTTGTCTGGACAACATCAGCATAAAGGAACAGGATATATAACAGCCCATTTTACAAACAGGAAACTTCCTTCAACCTGTACTAGAGATATTTAATTCAGTAAACCTCATAAAAGGCAAAAGTACTACTTTTAAGAAAACTTGATGCCATAAATTCTCATTTATTGACAGTCTAATTAAATAAACTACAAAATGTTGAAGATAGTTCGATGAAAGTAATTTATTTGAAGTCAGAATTCAAAGAAATTTTAGAATTCACCACTCGGCATTGTAAGGGAAATAATATCATGCACACTGTAAAAGCAGAACAATTATAATTTGAGACTGAAAGAAAATAATGAAATTGAACTTGTCTTTAAATTTTCTCTAAGAATGAAATTTTCATTTACTTCCTGTCTACATACTCCTACATGCCCAGCTCTATATATAATAGATTTATCTTCACATATGTACGGAATTATCTGATATAGGTTACACATTTCTGTCACTCCTCACAACTTTTTAGGTTTGGTAAATTAAAGGTGTTAAGTACCAAGATTATAAACTGTAACACAGGAGAACACCCATTATTGAAATGTCAGATTCTCTAGATGAAGCCACATGCAACAAAAGTCAGGAATATCTTTGAGCAAGTAGGAAGTTAAGCATAGTCTTTTAAATGGATTCTGCTGCATAAAGGATATTCTACAGAAGTATTCAGTGACATTTGTTAATGTTTGTTAGCAAATACAGTGTTATCCCAATCTAAATATTCTTTTGGGAGCAGTGGTTTTAATCACTGTACTAAGAAGTTTTTAAACGGAGGAAATTGTAACACTGAAATTGATTCGGAATCACTGAAATTGAATGTTAAATAAGTGTAAACATTAAAATTTAGGAGCATTAAATTGGGCTTCCAGTGTAAGACCTATCTGTCTTAAGCTTGTGTTAATACCCGAAATTTGTACTAGTATACTAGCAGTAATATAATTTGCCTTTCTTTCTGACAACATGTAGAGCTCAACAGACATGAAACACACAGGAGCCAGCAGATCTAAAAAATGAATTTAGAAAACTTAACTAAACAGTAATGCGTTCTTTTGCAAGTACTTCTCTTCAAATATAAACAGATCTCTGACTCCATAATTCTTTGTGAATCACTATATGTTTTGACACATTTTTTGATATCTTAAATAATGTACGGTGATATTAAAACTAGATACTAAAATATTTATCTGGTGACACACATAATATTGTGTTAAAACTGAGACGAAACTTCAAGCAGGAAATGCAAGGAAGTGTTTCACTATGAAACACAGTGGTGCATTAAACATATAAAACAGGAATTAGATCTGTGTTTTGGGGACCACTTGATTTTATAGGAAGTAGTCCAGGAACTGGAAGTATGTGGTACTTACTCTGAAACGTGTTACAGTAATGGAAGTACAAAATAATTATTTAAAAACTTTGTGTGTCTATTGGTTTTTCAGATGGGTGATTTAAAAATAGACAGATGAATAACTACAACTGAATACGTGAAATGTGATAAGGTCTCTTATAATGAAATTAATAAAGAATCAAAGCATGTGTGCAGATTTTATGTTTAAATTTCACAGTTTCATGCCATAAAAATAAAATGCAGTTTCAATTCATAGACCTATAGCAATGGGGAAAGGAACTTAAAAAATCCAAGCCTCACACCTCATTTGAAAGTTACTTAAGGTCAAGTTCACAGGTTCCAAACAGTGGTGCATCATTTAAGTGTGAAACTGATACACTTGTTGCAAATTTTTCATTTCCTTCTGAAGGCTGCATACAACAGGTGAATTTCATTCCAGCATAAGTGGACTACATACATGAGGTAAGAAGATGATTTGTCCCCATCAACTGAGCGCTATTCCATCTCGGTTTGAGCATTAAAAAAATGCAAGGGGTTGGTTTCATGCCCTGACCATCTTAACTCTGTTGATTAGCAGTTGGGTGGGCCCTAGAGCAATTCTGCATGTGACTATGATAAATCCTAATATCCCTGTTCTGGAGCATGTTCCAATTTCCGTGTTGTTAAATGAGCAACCACAGATCATCCTTAACAGATATGCACTCCTCCAAAGATAATCCTTATTTATTTCTTGCAAAAGAAAAGGCATTGTAAATGTATGTACAGAGGTGACATGTTAGAACACTCGACTCTTTAGAGACCAAGAGATGAATAGGTAATAATAAACACCAGACAGTTCCATTGGTTTTATTGGCAATGAAACATTTTTGTGTCTTTGATTGAATATTTCATAGATAAATTAATATTGCCTAATGTGCATATGTACAGAGTGGGGCGTAGAAACTTCCTTTTTGTTTTTGAAGGCAAATAAAAGAAAAATTATTGCTGATAGACAAAATTTATGTTTAGCTAATGAAAGAACGTACTTTAAAGTTTTAAATCACGCAGTTTTAAACAAAATCTTGAAGGTGGTCGCCACCGTTGTCTATGCACTGATGCAACCGTTTTCAGAAGTTCCCCTCTGCACATTCCAACATGTGCACTGGAATTTGGGCTACTTCCTGCCAAATAACATTCTTCAGCTGAAGCAGGTTTGTGGGGCGATGTTTAGAAACCTCTGCCTTGAGGTATCCCCATAAAAAAATCACAGGCCGTTAGATCAGGTGAGTGCGCTGCCCACGGGATGTCACCTCGAAGCGAGATGAGCCGTCCGAGGAACTTTGCCCTCAAAACTGTCATCGAAGCTCGGGCTGTGTGGGCCGTGGCACCATCCTGTTGGAACCAGACATTTCCTAGATGTATTTCTTCAAGAGCCTCTTCGAAAAGGATCCCAAAATCGACTGTCGAACTGCCTCCACATTTTCTGGCTTTGTAACGGTCCCTTGTCTTCCTGATGATTTTTCCACCACACTCCCGGTTGTCCTAAAGTTCCCTACCCACAAAACAATCGATTTCCGGTCGGGAACCGGACCTCTGGGCTTAATTCCGAAGTGAGTATGGAACGCATGCTGCACTGCCATGGGAATGGTTGTTCGAAAAATAGGCTTCGACAGCAAACGCACGCTGCTCACTCGTCCACCTCATGTTTCCTACGTTTCCTACTGAGCAATATTAGACAGAAACTCACGCGACTGCTGCGTTTGCCGAGCCTATCCCCGCTTTTCTGCCACCTCCCCTCCCTTGACAATGTGTCTTCACAAAAAGGAAGTTTCTGCACCCAATCCTGTATAATGAAGCAGAAGTAATAAAATCTAGCTAATGATGCAATGAACTATACAAAATCAAATGAAAATGCGAAGACAGTGATGAATTTGTAAAGCTATGAGAGGCAGTATTCATGACGCATTTTAAGGTTATATCTTGGGAATTTGTGGTGAGTGGGATGTGAAGACATGTAGTCTGATAGAGGGTAAACATCAACAAGACTACACTCTGTCATTCTAGAAGGCAGTATTTTACATTATATTGTAGGCAGTAAATGCAGTCACATGATTCTGTATATAAACATTTCTGATTCAGTGAAAAAAGCAAGACAAGTAGTGGAAGGCTGATATTGATAGATCAAAAGTAATGGGCATAAGGGAATCAAATTGTTTTCTACTTTGTAATAGCTGAGAATAAAATTTATGCTGTCCAAGAGCAAACAGATAAAACTGTGTCATTAATAAATCATTCTGTACAAAGACTGTTGTAAATTAACCAGTAATCCAAGATATGAAAGGCAAATGTTCTAACTCGATAATATTGCATGGACTCCAGGTATCAGTGTTCTTGGCCTAGGGGTTAGGATGTTGTAACCAACTATTAAATGTGTAAACTTTCCACATTCCAATGGCAGTTCCCCAATTCTGCAGTGTCCATAACATTGACCTTTCACTTTCTCTACTCCAACGAACCCTACTCAATCTCTGATGGGAAGTTTATAGCAGAGGAAATTATATGCCTTCTCACTGTTTGAAAGATTTAAATGTTTGTTATTCACACAGTGAATTTAGCAAGTAATGAAAAAATACTAATTAAGACGTTAACTATGATATATTTTTGGAAGTAGAATGATCATGAGAAAGTAATTAATGTAAAATGTAAGACATAAGAAGAATTAAGAATAGGTGAGCTGTGACAGAAGTATAAATTCATATACCAACATCAAAGTTGAATAAAAAGAAGCACGAATATTACATACTTCACACAGCTACTTTGCTTCATATCCAGACTATCAAAGCATACCTGAGAAAAGAATTATATAACTGGCTGTTACAAAGGAGCAACAACAATATGATGAAATTAGAAAATGTTTAGTTGTCTTGGATATAAATAGATATTGGTGGGTGGGAGAATAAACCTTACAGCTGATACCATATTTAAGAACATAATTTATTCATCTTTTTTCTAAGTTTTGGTTGTATGACATTAAGGAATTATTATGAAACTAATAAAATTTGATTGTCTTAATAGTTGCTCTTGGATATGACATTCTGTGATATGTGATTGTCAACATTAAGGACTTCAGCACACAGTAAAGACCAATGTTAAGAAATGTGGAATGCAGACGAGAGAAATAATATGAACTTGCTTATAGAACAACAAGTGTTGTAAATTGATGGCATTACAAAATGATACCATTTTAGTCTCTTTTTACAGCTTAATTTGCAATTTGAATGCCTGTTACTATGTAATTCCTTATACTGTTAACAAAGAATATAAAATAATTTTGTGTAGATACACTGAAACTGAGGTAACAAAGCAAATATGCTGCTGAGAAGCTGTGTCAGTTATAGTAATGAGATTTTTCTTCATGCTGCCTATCATTATGTTATCCTGTTTAGAAATAATGTGAATCCCTTCTGAAAGGACCCCTTAGAAGAACCAATAGCTTTTGCATACCCAAAGTTCACCATTTGAGACTTATACAACATTCATATGCATGCATAAAGCATCTCTAATACTGTTCTACTTAATGTATTAATATAATATGCCCAAATAATTTCTGCTGAAAACTATATTTGCCTGTTCTTAACCTTGTATGATTCCTATAGGTTATCCTTCGTTATTGCCTGGTAAAGGAAGGAGGAGCACATAACTAAGTAAGGACACTGGAGACGAATTCGTGTGCATTACAGTGATCATCTTGAATGATAATGTGATAGCATGAGTCTGACATCATCATCACACCAAGGATATTTCTTATGAACAAAATATTGTGCACGTTTCTCTGGTTCATATATCTACCTTATCTTGCTTATAGAAATGCCATCTCACATGTCACCCATTATACATATATTTACTCCACCTGGTGTTTTCCTTTTGTAATACATATTTATATATAAATAAACATAGATACCAAGATCATAAAGTCTCAATAATATGATCGTACTTGATGTGCCTGTGATATGCCCTGATATTTTTTAAACAAATGGAATTCATAGACCTGATCAAATGTGGACCGAGCCACAAGCTGTGTCTTTCTGGTTTTACTAATGTTTCCTTCTGTTCAGGGATAGCTGATCATACTTGCAAATATTATTACAGGATAGAATGTTGGTGCATCCTTTGGGATTGTGCCCAAGTGATTCTTAATGTCAATAACAAATTGTTCAATCTGTAATATATATTTCAGACAAAACCATCACTTCTTAGAAGTGTCTACTAAAATTAACATAAAAATAGCCCTTTCAAAGCCACACCCATAAACAGTTCTGCTTAATTTACTGTATATGTACAAAACCATTACATGCTTGTACATTCACATAATTCATAACTATATACTTAAATCAATATTTTGATTTATCTCTTAAACATAGCACAGTAAGCCACATTTTACTATGCTATGGACACAGATGAACGCTTTCATGAACTCCTTAATGTTGCGTGTAGATGTTACAACTGTGAAAGTTTGGAAATTGGTCCCCAAAAATATTACTTTAAAAGTATTTAATGAATTCAGTTTCTCTCAAAATTTTTTAGTATTATATGACTAGGATTTTTGATTATCACTTTTTTTCACAGGATATGTGGGAATGGGATAATTTGCAGCTGACTTAATGACCGAGACAACAAGCTGTTGCTTTTATAATTATGGAATTTTCTTACTTCCAGTCCCTTATTTTGAAGGCACATTTTCTGTCAATCTTTCTACAAAACTGGTTTCAAAATTTTAATTTATAGAATTTATGATCCATTTTTAGTTTTGCTTCTAAGTACTGTTAGGTTTAGGTTGTTTAAAACAGTATATTATTATTTTAATGGCTTAATTATAAAATCATATTTTTTTTACAAATATAGGATGCACACTACAGCAATTTGCCTTTTGGAAACATATATATGTATACAGATCCTATACCTACAGAAAATATCCATATAGTTTACTGAAATGGAGGCATTTAATAAATGTCTGGGAACTCATTCGGGAGATCACCGGTTTACTACGTAGGTAATTAATAGCAATTTAGAATAAAAGCAATGTATTGTGGTTGCCCTTAAATGGTAATACCGATATTCAACAGTATTATCTCCCGCTGTCACATTTCAAATGGCTTTTGTGTACAATTTTAATGCTTATCAATCATTTGTCAGGCAAACCCTTATACATTTTTATTTGTTACCAAAATAAGATATACATTTTTATGTATTACGTAAAGAAGACAAAATTTGTTCATAATAATTAGGTAAAGCTAGCGTGTAACTGAACTAGGTACAAAATATATGATATATGGTGAATATTCTAATAATTCAGAACATTTTCGTATTTCATTGGAGCATTGGTCAATGGATTGTAATGTGAGAACTGATTATGGCTGTAGCTGAAGTGTTGGTGAAACTCATTGCAATTGTAATTGTAATTGTAATAGTTGTAGAACCCTGAGTACTGGTTAACGGCTTGAAGCTGGTTCTGATGATAATGCATAGTTGATTCAAAAGTGGGAATCTGCAATGGACCCATATAATAGTTGTAATCAGGAGCAGAATTGATACTAACCTCATTGCTAGCAGGCTGGTGATTCTCAGTTTGTTGAGTTGTGTTGCTGAAAAATCCTTCATGAGAATAACGGCCAATTTCTGTTGAACCGAAAGCTTGCTCAAAGGCTGGCAAGGGACCGTTTGTATTCTCGGTTCCATTAGCAACACCAGAATTATCACTCAGTGTACTGGTAATTTCTACCGCAGCTGGATGTGTGCTGGCAGACGATGAGTTCTTGCTACTCTTGTTTACAGATGTGGCAGATGGTCGTTTCCAGTTGTTACCAGCACTGTAGCTAATGGAAGGAATTTGCGCCTTTTGAGTTGCTGCTGTTGTGGCTGCTGCTGATGTAGTAGCTATAGAAATAGGTGCTACGCTGTTTGCTAAAGACATGGGAATCATCTCAAGCATTTGCATTTGTTCTTCTCTCTGAAATTAATTGAAGGATTACCTGGATTACAATCTGGATATGCTATTAGTGACACACCCACTTAACATAAAGGATTATCCAACCTTCACTTATCCCACATTCTGCTTTATCTGCATAATGTTTGCCATACTGTATACTAAACAATATATTTAATTAATTTAAAATCCATTGTTCAGTTTATTTAATTAGAATTTATTTCTCCAAGTAATAGTTCTGTACTCTATTATTCTAGTTGTAGTGTAGAATAATTATTAATAGATTAAACAATTTTCTTGGGGAGTAAAGCTCAGCCAGCGTGTAAGGCTCACAACCTTGCCGCCATCTATGAACCGATTGTCTAGATAATGTGGGACCCTCAACGTCTCACAACCCTATGGGCCTTCACGGCCTGTAACAGGGATAGCTTTACCTTTTTATTTTACTTTTACTAATTTCATACTTATATGGGACTCCCATTAAATTTTCTATTTGTTTTGCCCCCTTCCCCACACATTTCCATATATCTGACATTTTTGTCATTCCAGCCAACTGTTGGTCCAATTTAGGTCGAATAATCGAGACTCTTCTGTATTTTCAATGCACTAGCAATGTTCTGGAAGTGTACTAGGTACTGGACCACAGCTGTTTTTAAATAGGTACAATACCACAAATATTACTGCCTTCTGGCATGTGACACCATGTACTTTAGTTAACAGTTTTTTCAAAATAAACTACTGGCTCCATCTCCAGTGTAGAATAGTAAGCCTAAAACAATACAGACTCAGAGCTGAGACAGAAAGTTCCTCTGAAACATTAATATCTATCTACGAGGATATGTGATGTCAAAATCTATACTTTGTCTTTTGTTTAAAAAATTACTTACATTCACTTCCTCCCTAGTGACCATGTTCTGAGGGAGACCAGAGCTGTCTGCAGGTTGCTGCTGTTGGTAAAGGTAGTGATGTTGCTGAATGTTGTTGACAGTACCATCACCACTGCTACCAACATCTCTGTCACTGTGGTTAATCATCTGGCCTGCAGCAGTTGGTTCGCCACTGTCCGATGTTCCAGTAAGTGGTTGGGCTTGCATGCAGTTCCCATAGGAGCCATTCATCATTTGCTGTCTCACAGAATAAGGTGAAACTGAAATGAAAAATGGAAATGAAGAACTGGTGATCCATGTTATGGATACAGCCTAAAATCAAATTCAAATAAAATGTTATACATGACATGGAATGTCTGATAAATTTTGCGTCACTACACCATCACATTGTAGGAGATATTGTTCATCATATATAGTACAGTTTGATTATTATTACAATGTATGTTACCATGTATTCATTTCAAAATCACTGATCCCATAATAAAATTCGGGGAACTGAAACATGTCTGTGTGATGTGGGTATGTTACAAACAACTCTGAAGCATCCTTTTTTTTTTATTTATTTTTATTTTTATTAAAATTCGCTTGTTGGGGGTGGAATCCAACTAGGTCCACTGGGCACGGTGGCCACTGATTGGCCAATTGTAGCCTGCCCTGGGTGATTATGATGATGGAGAATTTGGTGGAATGAAGATTGGCAGGGAAAACCGAAGTACTCGGAGAAAACCGGCCCCAGCGCCACTTTGTCAACCACAAATCCCACTTGACCAGACCCGGGATCGAACCCAGGCCATCATGGTGGAAAGCCAGCGACTAACTGCTTGAGCTATGGCGCGGCCTGAAGCATGCTTACTCAGTGACAAGCCAGATGTCATCAGAGAAATTAAGCCGCCAAAACTGATCAAATGTCATGTAATTTTCTCTTTCTGTGTGTGTTACAATGCAGCATTAATTTTATTAACCTAAGATATTGTCACTTATTTGCACAAAGCAAGAATTGTGGAGCCAGAGAAACAGCTGTTGCTAGCAAACAGCTCTGAAACAGTATTTGTTTCTAAGTAAAGGCTTGATACACATGTTCTTGCGGTAATGGATAGAGGTACTGCTGAAAACGGTGTTTCTACTCAGTCTGTGCAAAGAGGCTATAAGTAAGATAGTTTGGGCAACTGAGTCAGTTCTATACAGAAGTCTGTGATGAGAAGTATCAGTTGGAAGGGAGCCACCATTCAGAGAGGACTTGAGCGTGTGAAGCTGAAGAATCTCCATTGTTAGAAGCCGTTGTCAGGGAACAGCTTGGTGAAGACACAGCAGGCTTGAAAGACTGAGGGGGTTCTGGGATAATTTGGGAATTTTTGGAAGTAGTGATGGAGCTGTAACTGCTTGTAATTCAAAGTATTTTGTACAAGTGGTGAATAAAGCCAATATCCAATTCAAAAACCATCTGTAATCACACACATACTATGTGACAATATCAAGGTCTTCGGGAATGTGACATCATGATGTCTGGTTGACCGGTACAGATGTTTCAGTAGAAACTACTGCCTCCTTTTTGTGTCTTTGAGATCTGCGTTCCAGAAATGCTGTGATCATAACACTCGCGGGTCTGAAAACTTCAGATCTCGTAAGATATCACAGTTCACAGCCTACCCCACCTGGAGATTTCTAATCATTTCCTTACTCTCCATTTTTTTTATTAATCATTCTGCAAGTGTAAACCATAACCTCTTTAAACATAACTATTACTCTGGACACTGCTGATGATTTTGAGTCTTTTCAATCATGCTACTGCTGAAACTGGGTCTGTTTCTGTCTTCAGGTGAAGGGAGGAAAGAGTCTCAACCACTGGGCAATAGCTCAGGAATATGAACAATGCCCGATATAACAACCACATTTACTGTTACACACAGTTGTCAGAAACCCTTAGGCCAAGGGCACACTAAGGAAACTGGCAACAGCAACACAACTGCAATTTCCGAGGATTGTTATCAGCCTGAGTTGAACACATGTTACTGAATGGACCAGAGCAAATTGAGGAAACAGCAAAACTGATAACAATTCTTGGAAATTGCCGTTGTGTTGCTGTTGCCAGTTTCCTTGACATGCCCTCGCCCGTTTCCTAGTGAATGGCTACTTAGACTACTCTGGATGTGGCTGCCTGTGTATAAGTAAAAAAAAAAGCAAAGCTATCCCTGTACCAGGCCGTGAAGGCCCATAGGGTTGTGAGACATTGAGGGTCCCACATTATCTAGACAATCGGCTCAAAGATGGTGGTAAGGTTGTCAGCCTTACACGCCGGCTGCGCTTTACTCCCCAGGAAAATTATTTAATTAATTCCTGGTACTCATTTCTGTTAGAGGCTGAGTAAACCCCAGGGCCTAGTGCGGCTGGAAGGATTAGGTCAACTGAAAAAATCCAGTGACCTCATTGGGATAACGATCAGAAAGTACTGAGATATATGCATAGCATTTTTATCTTATTTAATTATACTTTTTCCTACACATAAGAGTTTACTCTTGCATAGGATGTGTTATCAAAGAAAATACAGCTTTTAAGTACCTTGGTGCTGACGAATTTCTGTCGCATGATGTGCCCAGGGACTACCTTGCTGGATTTTTGTTTCATCATTTGGTCTCGGCATGTAAGATGTGCCAGACTGGGGCATCTGAAACAAGAAAATGGGCCAAGAGAAAAACCAGAATAAATATCTTTAAAAAGGAAGACAAAGAAATGGTAGTTGAACACTTATCACCACATCTACCATCGCTTTCTTAATCAGGACAGCCATTACATAGATAACAAATGATATTGTAATGTTACCTATTGATGTGTAATTTGTTCTATCACTCTGAGATGCAATGAAGTTTGAGTATGCTGGAGAAGAAACTGATGAGAATATTTGGACTGAAATCAGAGGAAATAACAGGATAACTGGGGGGCAGGGGACAGCCAGGATAATTAACAATGCCTGATATTCAAGTTAGTTAGCTACTGAACATACTATCACATGTAGGGGTGACTTATAGACGGGGTTTTGGATTGGGTGATTGAATTTATTGCACCATATACATTCACACAACTCGGGACTACAGCAATACAGCACTATGGCTGATCTACACACTTCACAGTTTACCATTTCATGCGCGTTATAATTCTTAGGTTTCAGTAGTTGTATCCTGGCAACAGATTTACAACTGTCGCACTGTCACTTCACATCACACATGAAGTGTTCTATTCATAGCCTAGCTCCCTTCTTGCCACTATTCTGCAACTGCCAAGTCAGTTCAATTTCCAAGCTCATATTCTGGCAGGCTGGTGTCTCAAGACTCTATACTCTCCACTCCCTGCCCTGCTACTCTATGCTGCCGAACACTTCTTCATAACCATTTTGCACAGACCATGCAGAAAACACACTCTCTGTTGTTAAGGAGGAGTGTTTACTGAACTGTTACCTAGCAATAGACATTCTATTGTTGCGTGCATTTGCTTACTTGGAAATGTGTTTACTGAGTCACTGTCTAGCAATGGGTATACATGTCACACTATATTAAATGATCAATAACAAAAGTATGTTTGCTCTGTGAGAAATAAGGTTGACATATCGCTGAGTATGAGATTATGATCTTGTAGGATGTCACATTATATAGTCTCACAGATTGGTAATTGCATTTTGGAGGAACCATCTTCAGGGTAGAGGAGTCAACTCTTCTTCAGTGAAGGTAACGGTAGCAGGTTCCTACAAAATATTGTCACCCATACCTGCAACCTACATTGTGATATATGCCAGAATATTATCCTTACTCATGCAGTGAAGAAGTTAATGTCTCTTTACTTCACTTGTAAGAACTAAACTGAATATTCTTTCCAGAGTTAAATATATTTACCTGTACGTATGGTAGCCATTGCTGGCCATCCATTTCTGTTAAGACCACATAGTCTCCATTTCGTGGGGTGTTCACGTGATTGGTGGACTGATGGTATGGGTTCGTGTCAACATCTAGGTATGAATCTGTGCATCCTTGGATCATGTTTTGCTCTGCCTGTTCCTGAATGCCTTTTGTTGCCACCTGTAGGCTTCTTTCCTGCTCCACCAACATCTGCAAATAATAAAACAATGTTTCCATCAACCCTCTTGCTTCAAAACTTAGTCCTATGTGATATGGAAAATTACCTTTCTGCTTATTTAAGGCTAGCTAGTAAAATCTATCCCTGTAACAGTCCATGAAGGTCCATAGTGTTGTAAGATGTTGAGGCTCCCACATTTTCTCTAGACAATGGGCTCACAGATGGCGGTAAAGTTGTCAGCCTCATGGCAGCTGCCCTTTACTCCCCAGGAAGATTCCTGGTAGTCATTTCTGTTAAGAGGCTGAGTTGACCCCAGGACCGTAGTGCAGCTGGAAGGATTAGGTAAATTGAAAAAGTCCACTTTATAGGTTCTCGAACCCAGGACATTCCGGCTCATAGCACAGAGGCTAAATAGTACAAGAGACAATTTAAGCCACGCTACAAAGCAGTAAGTGTGAAAAATAAAATAAATGATTCTGTGTTTATTAACGATTGTTTCTTAGTTTGCACAGTTTATATGAGTATAGTGTTGAATTGGACGACAATTGGAACTATGAATTGAGCAGGATCTGGAAGAATGTGGTCATGGTATATTTAAGGAACTATTTCAGCGTTTGCCCAAATGACGGAGGAAAATCATGGAAGAATCTTATCCAGGACAAGAAGCCTTCAGGATGAGAATCAAAGTTGGGACTTCTTGAATATGAACTAGGAGTAGCATATCTTAATACATACACGTGCCTGGATCATATGGCACCAGGAAATCAGAATCTAATGTCAATGAGTCCGCATTATAGCAGACCTTAGACTCTTTGAATATTATAAAATTATCAGAAAATTTGATCTATGTTCATATTGTCCAATAATATCCCTATGTTGCATGAACTTATTGACATTTTGAAATACAGGAAAAATCTGGGGGGAACCAATGGCCTACTTTCTTTCGATATGACAGAGAACCCAAATAGTGTTGGGGCCACCGAGAACCCAAATATTGTTGGGGCCACCGAGACACACCGAAAACGAGATGATTGCATGTGTCCTAACAAAAATTAAGGGGGCTACACAGACAGATAACAAGGTAAGCTCTTAAGGCTCCTTTTATTTTTTCAGAATAAGGAATTAGGTTAATAAAAAGGGGGGGAACAGGATTTCATTTTCATTTATTCACATTCCATAAATCCTGTTGAGAATACATTCTCATGCGGATGTGGAGATCGTCTAGTTACAGTCACAACTAAGAATTACAGTTGTCATCCAATAGCATACACATTTGTAATAAAATACTGATAAATGTATACAATATAATAAAATAAGTTAATTTTATTAGTAAAAGTAATGGCAAACCTTATAGAATTTGTACAGTTTTATACAAGTGGATTAATTAAAAATTCAATAGTTAAAACACAGTGTCATTAATGAGTTTTGTATAACATACATTAATTATATAATAAATTGAAATAAAGAGTAGTATACGGTGATATGAAGATTGTGTCTATCTAAAATAAGTAACTAAAAACTAGAACAGACTGACAATCTTCTCTTCTTTAAATTGTAAGTAAGACAGTTACTCACATCCTTAAAAGATTTACAACTGAAATATTCCTGTAATTAATAAAAATAATGTAAATATATAAATTGTTTTAATTGTACCTCAAAACACTTAGTGTCACTCGATATATCCTTAATATATTGTGGTAGATTATTACAGACCTTTGTTCCTAAACAGTAAACTCCCTTTTGGTATTTACTCAAATTTACAAAAGGCTGATGTAGATTATTTTGCTGTCTGGTATTTAGTCTATGAATCTCTGAATTTACTATGAATTTGTTTCTGTTTTTTATCACAAAGAGCATAAGAGATAGTATGTACTGAGATGCTAGAGGCAATTATGCATCTTGTTAAAATATATTATTTGTTTAATTCCTTATTGGATAATTTGATTATTTAACAAGATGCAAAGTAAATAATATATGGCTAAGCAATGTGTGTAATGTTGAATTGGTTAGTCAAGAGAATAATTTGCTGTTCCTGTCAACAATAGATCAGTATCTGCAATGAAAGAACTTCAAAACCAATTAATGTTATGATGTAACAAATATGTCTGCACCAAATTTTCAATACTGTTGAAGGCATGAGTCTACTCTGTATCTTACCGTCAAGGTTAGTCATTCATTGATACAAAGCATTACAAATATTTGAGTTTTCCTAATATTGGTGATCTCAAAAGAGCCAGACCCTTTACATTGATATTATTATATCAGGAGCCGGGATAGCTCAGTCAGTATAGCGACTGTCTACGGGCTGGACGGCCAGGGTTCAATTTTTGACAGACGCAATAGATTTATCTCCTCTCCAAAGCGTCCAGACAGGCTCTGGGACCCACCCAGCCTCCTACCCACTGGGTACCGAGTAAAGAGACAGCAGCGTGAAGCTGACCACTCACCAAAGTCCCGGGCCAAAGTCGAGAATGGTGGAGCTATACCTCCACTCATCAACACGTCTTCAAGGCTTCGTGCTTAATTACTCGTAATTAAGCACAAGGTCAACTTTAACTTTACCATATTATTTGTTTTTCTTTCTGGATGTCAAATGAATCTGACCTTACATTTGTCTTTACATAATGACGCTATAAGTATATGATTATAGCTGATGTGGCCAAACTGTGGCTCGCGAGCAACATGCAGCTCTTCGGAACCTTAGTGCGGATCGCGGAAGATATATTAGCCAGCCCCTTTCTTTATGAACGGATTAAATGTGTAACAGTATCTTCTATGTGGGAAGCATGTGCTCAGACACATGCGCCGTGCAATCCATATCTGTTTGCGGCTACCGGATTTCTGAAAGGTGTCAAATGCGGCTCTGATGTTCAGTAGAGATAGACAGCAGAGCAGTAGTTTTCTGCTGGCCTCCTCCAGCACAATCATTTTTGGTTTCAAACCCCGTCGGGTTCCATACCACTATTTCTATTCGTTCCAAGACCACTTACTCGTATGTGTTTTGAAATGGGACCTCCTCTTTGACGAGAGGATGGGTTGTTGTTTTCAGGCAGGCGCCACATTTGTTGTACCATAATTTAGCACGGGTTTGGTCACCCCTGCTACATAGTGTGACTGGAGGGATGACTAAACAAAACAAAAACAAACTCCGTGGCCTGTAGTCCGCAAGCGAACTATACCGACCAAGCCACCGCCGCTTGTCGGCGAAGTTAGTGCGAACTTTAGCGGATAGATGTCGCGTGGTCAGCGCAACTGATCCCCACGGCCGTTAATCTCGGTTTTCTAGTCCGGAGCCTCTATTTCCTTGAAATAGTTCCTCAGTTATCCTCACGAGGCTGAGTGGACCCCGTTCCAGACCCACTACTTCTCAGAAAACCTGGTAGCCCCGGGAATCAAACCCGGGGCCTCTGGATCTGTAGGCAGGAACTCTGACCACTAGACCACAGAGGCGGTCAGTAAATAATAAATTGGAGCAGACTAGGAGGAAGAGCTCGTAGCGTCTGTTGGGGTTCCCGGGATTTGCCTTACAGGAACTGAGGAAAACCACGAAAATTCTTAAAGATAGCCAGTCTTTTGGTTGTAGATTTTAACCTAGGACCTCCCAAATAAGAAGCAGGAGAACTAACCAATCGACTGCAACGAAATTGGACTGGAATTTGTCTGTTTTTTTGGGGGGGGAGCATATTTCATTTTGTTCTACAGTTGTTTTTGTTATGTAATTTGAACTTTTTCAATAAGGCACGTTTTACAAGATTTATCCTGTTTATTACTTATGAAATTTCATTCGTTTCTCTATGACTGACCTTGAAGGTAAAGGACGGTTAGTGGGACATAATCATGGTCAGTTGCTTGCGACGGATAGAGGATTGCTAACATTGCTTTGACATTTCTGTTGGTCTACCTGCTGTCATTAATACTGTCGCTCTGCTATGGAGTTGCACGTCGGGCTCTCTCTGTGTTTGCAAAACAGTGATGCGGTATTGTGTAATGTGGTTGTCACTTCAAACTGTGCTTCGTAATTCAGCATGAGGTAGGTCTATGATCATGTAATAATTACTGAAACATTTAACTCTGAAATTAGAGCAAACAACATCAGGCGAATCAAATACCTGTACTTTTGGTTGTCGCGTTGCAACATGGGAAGTGCTGAGATGAAAGAGTGAATTCAAGGACATTGGCATCTTTTTGATGTTTTCAATACGAGGGTACCTCATTTTGTAATCAACGTAAGGACGTACTCGACAAGTAACAGGGTACGAGAGAGCATACTTGGCTGTGGCATTATACTATAAGTCGGAAGGTCGCGGTTTCGATTCCCGATGAGGCCATTAGATTATTTAATTGACTTCATTCTTCCAGCCGCACTATGGCCCTAGGGTCGACTCAGCCTCTAACAGAAATGAGTACCGGGAATCTTCCTGAGGGTAAAGAGCAGGCCGGCGCGTTAGGCTGACAACTTCACCGCCATCTGTGAGCCGATTGTCTATAGAAAATGTGCGAGCCTCGACGTCTCACAACCCTACGGGCCTCCACGGCCTAATACAGGGATAGCTTTGCCTTTTGTACTTGCTAATAACATTCATTCGGCGTCCAAACCATCATCATGCCTTCTTTGCCAGCAAAATCAATCTTTACATTAAAGTCTTATAATCAGTGGCCGCCGTGCCGAGTGGACCCAGTTGGACTCCCCCCCCCCACTAAACGAATTAAAAAAAAAATGTCTTAATACCTTTCCATTAAGAACTAACTGCAGTGTATATCTAGGGAAGACGCTCACTGCAAGGGCACTGTGTGTTTCATTTCATGTTTAATTTGGCGAAACTGCGTGTATGTGAGATTACATAACGTGGAATGGTAGGATGATTAATGAATAATGAATTGGAGGATTTGAAAGGAATCGGACGTGGTGTAATCGAAACATTCTTCCGACACTTTTCTGAAGGGGCCGAGGGAAACAAAAAATCAATAGAAACAGCCGTGTCGCTGCCGAGATTCGAACCAAGCACGTCCAGAATAAAAAGTTTCAGAGTAT